GTCGTCGCCGTCGTCGTCGCGGCTGCCACGATGTGTGTGTGTGTGTGTGTGTAGTTGGCAGAGCCGGTGGCTGTAGTCGCGTAGTTGTCGTCGTCGTTGTCGGAGAAACGTGCGCCTCGTTATACTAGTTAATGTCAAAACGCTCGTTCTCGCGCTCGTTCGGAGGTAAGCAGCGAAGAAAAAACGACGGTCCCGAGTTGAGCGCGCCAAGATACTCGCGCTCTTCGCGAGCGTTGGTGCAAAATGCACAGAGGGGGCGAGCAACGGCAGTCAACCGGCAGCTTTTCAGCAGGGCGATTGATTTTTGACTCGCTGAACTGTCAAATGTTTCGGCGAATGAGCCTGGCGCGGGAGGTGCTCGCACCTCATAAACAGCATTAATTACGACATGTAATAACGCACCCGCGTTTGTAATTACCCGCGCGACGAAGCGACGCTCAACAAAAACGTCACGCCGTCGCCGTGTAATTTGCGTTTAGATGAGGGAAATTGGAGTCTCCCTCGCGTTAAAACAGCTGACCGTGCTTTCGACTGCGATTAGCGGTGTCATAATTGCCGATTCGACGATAGTATTTTTTAAGTAACTTTATCGATTGCCACAGCGAGATTGCTTTGTATATCGTTCAAAAGCAAGCTCTCTGGCGTCTCATCTTATTAAGATACGTTGTAAGCTTTAAGAGATGTTGAACCTCTTCAGGGGGTGACGCTAAAACTCTACTCCAGTCTCTTTCTTTCTGTGTCAGCGTACACGTTTACACACGTTTACGTCGACGTTTTGCACACGTTAAGAAACATCGCGGAGTCGCGACTTTCGCCTCTCGTTCGCGACGAGCTCGCGCTTTGTTGATGATACAATGCGCTGTTAATTGTAATACGGAGAACATGCACGCGACGCGCGCAACGGGATCGCGAAAAGAGAACGGCGCGCAAAGGTGGAAAGATAATTATTACAGAGTTTGAATATCTTGTCAATGGCCGACATTATTCGCGGCCGTGATCAAAGGTCAGATTGTCTAACCGGCGGAGAATTCAAAGCGCAACGACCACAAAATTTCCGGCCGAGAATAGTTGAACTCGGATGGACTTTAGTCGAACCGCCAACGCGCGAATGTCATTAATTTTAATGGATATATACCGCTTAACATTGGCCACGACTTTCTCTCTTCCTCCCCCCCCCCTCTCTCTCTCTCTCTCTCTCTATGTCCCCCCGACTCTGTCTTCCTCCGCTCGACGCTTCAATCAAAGACCGCCCCGTAAAACGTCGTAACTGGTTACACAGGAAACACAAGTAGTCTCGGATTCACGGAACACACTACGCCGTGTTGCGTGCAAAAGTAATGAGCGAAAGATCAGTGAGGGATTAATAATTTCGCAAGGAGACATTTCGCGCCAGCCTCGTTAATTTTAACAAATCGCGCGGAACGCGACGCGCGGCCGCTCATTGTTCATCATTGTTCACGGCTGCCGTCTGAAAACCGACAAGACCGAAAAGACCGAAAGACAATATACCGGGGGCTTGACTCCCATGCGAGTAGATCATCTCGAAAGCGAGCGCGGCTCCAATTTCGAAAATGCTTCCGAGCTAAGTGCAGCAGCGCGCGCGCGCGCCCGCCGGTCTTTATCTTGGCTCTTCCATTTCAGAATCTTCGCCTGCTAATTAAGCAGCTCGTGCACACACAGAGCTGGAAGTACGAGAGTGGAAGTCGCGTGAATTACTTCATCTTATTTATCTCTTTTCCTTTCCATTCACGCTAACGCTCCACAACCTCGCAACATTAATTTCACCCCGGAGAAAAATATTTCCCGAGACGGGGTATAAAATGTTTCGACGAGCGGACCGGACGTTTTTCCTTATTTTTTTTTTTTTTTTTTTTTTCCCGGGATCTTTTGGTGTCGCGACAAAAAGGCCTAGTGATTCTCGATCTCGCCGCTGCTTCGGCAAGCAAAGGATTCTTCACCCAACGCCGAATAATATCACGATTACAGTGCGCAAATGTTTGCGAATCTCTCGACCCTCTATGCCAGAAATTAACGGCCAAGTGAGCAGTTGGCAATTCCATTTTGTGTGACCGAGGCCGTGTTGTGTCGCGGATGAGTGTCCACACTATACGAGAAGAGAGAGAGAGAGAGAGAGCGAGGGGGGGGGGGAAAGAGAGAGAGACCACCGGTTCCTCAGCAAACGCATATTGACGATACTTTTTTTACAGCGATCGATATAGCGACTATCAGCGTCCCGTAGCTGACGAATAAATACGTTTGCGCTTGAACGAGCGCTCGATGGCTCGAAGGTGTCGCGTTAAATTACGACTTGGAATGCGCGCGGTGAGAGGAAGCGATAAAGGACAAGAAGAAAGCTGAAACGCGCGTACGTGGCGTATCTCGCAGACGTATCGGCTGATGATCGACGACGAAGGGACAAATTTCAACGGAAATTGCGATCGGAATTCATGACTACATTGAGGAATAATAATAGGCGCTCGCATTATATAATAATATTCATTCGATATAATAATATTCATTCAACATAATAATATTCACAGAATAATAATAATAATTTATCGTTGCAATGCATACATTTTCTGTACCATGTAACAGTAATACAGAGCGCTGCGGAGCGCGCGTTATTTCATGATGCTTTAATAGTATTCGCAAACACCTGCTCCAACTCGGTCCCATTCTCCCGCATTTTCCCGAAAGTAACGGAGACCCCACCAGCGATCGAGACCAGCCTCGAGACGAGATGAGAGAGTGGTTGTGTTCACGAACAGCTCAACAGTTGCACAACAGTTGAGCATCCGATGAGTGAGCGATGAGTGAGCAGTAGAAATGTGAGCACTGAACGCAACTGATTCTGCGCGATTTGGTTGTGCGGAAAAAGTGTCAGACTAAATATTACGGCTCGTCTACACGCTTATGTGTCTTGTAATGTATTAAGTATTTTTATAAATATGATTCATACGTGTCTGTTACAATGTATTCTACACCATCCTTGACATTCCCCGCTGTATATATTTGGACTTATATGACCATTTTCTTCGTTATTTTCTTTATTCATGGGCTACACCATGTTGAATCGGAGACTGATCGGTAAAGGTAGCGACGAATGTTTATGATGAGAAAAATGGCGACCGCTCACTTAACATGAGCTGCGAATGAGCGCATCGCTCAGTGGCGTTCAGGACGAAATCACTCAACAGTTGCACAGCCGTTGAGTGTCGTGAACGCGCACCCACTGTCAGCAGGACGATTTCTAGCCAGACCCTTTCTCTCGTTCAGTTACTCGGCGAGATTTTTCGCGACCGGGCAAATCACACTAGCGGGGCGCTATCATTAGCCCGCACGGAAGATACACTCGGGCGGTTTGTAAGCTCTAAATTGAAACGTCGAGGGCCCTCGACTCGCGTTACGCCGGGCCTCTCTCGCCCCCGACGACGACGACGACGACGACGACGACGACGACGACTGCCGCCGCCCTATCCCAAATCCTTAAATCCTGGCACTTAGTGCGAAATTAAGTGCCACCTGGTACCGGGTATAAACGCGACCTCCAGGAGATGAAGGCAAATGTTTGATCGGACATTATGACCGTACAGCCCGAGGGAGGAATTAGAGTTAATAGAGGGTTATATCGACTCGAGATTTCTCTCCAAAGCTCTTCGTTCTCCTTGACCGTTAAACCGCTGGCACGGCGGCGCGCGATCGGCGTTTTTCACGTGGAGCTCCTACGGTCACTTAATTGGCCGCCGTTCCTCCCTTCGGGAAGCAATTCGAGGCGAACGAATAAGGGCGTCGGCCAGGTGCTAAACCGATACGTACCAATCCGCAGTTAAAATGGATAAAATACCTGTGAGGATATTAAATGTTCGATTGTGTGCGACGGAGAGGATCGCTCTGGAGAGGATTCGCGCAGAGAATCCTCAGCGCTCCTTAACGAGTCGTTTCACTTGACAAAATGAATATCGAGCGAAATTATCAACAGCGTGAGACTTGCTGATTTCCATCGCTGTGTCTCGCTTACTGCTATTCTTTTATTCTTATTATTGAAAGCTTTGTTGATCGAACGATCGAATTTTGTCGGGATTATTTTTCTCGAAATACACCGGCGCTCCGATTATCGGCGATATTTATCCTTGATTTGCTCGCGACTTTGTCCCGACTCCAGCAAACGATTCGCGCGAAGAAGAGAGAAGGGAGAGAGAAGGGCGAGGAGGAGAAGACCAATTCCGCCGATTTGTAAGAAAGTACTTGTCGTGCGGCTTACTCTCGAAAATTAATTATCGGCCTATGCGCATTAATTTGGACCATCGGGCGTGTCATTTAATTAATCCCGTCTATGTCGCTGATCGACGACGTCTTCGCGCCCCCCTCTGCAACACCGCTTTCCTCATCTCTCCACCCCCGCCCCCCGTCCGTCCTCTCGTCGTCAGCGTTCTCCGCGCCTCGGTAACGGCGTCGCAGCGAGTTATTTATTTAATTGGACATTAAAGCGCGAGAAAGCAATTATGAGGAACGATGAGCTGTCTCTATGCCCCTTTGGGGAACGGTATATTTTAATTAAAGGCAGCAGAAACTTGGTGGGCAGGTGGGAGCAGGGGGAAGGAGCGGGTGCGAGGCAAAGGAGAGAAAAATGAGACCGTTCTTTGTTGTTACCCGTGTTGTCGCCCGGTGACTGAAAAGACGCCTCAAGTGTCCGCTCGATATTCGCTGATCGTCCACGTCGTCCACTTCCGGTTGCCTTACATGGGACGTTACTCGCCGTGGATCAAGTGGATTGCGGTTGTTCGTAGAATCACCGTTAGTTCCCCAGTTGCCGAGAAGGGTGCGACGTGATAAATTGGCAAATTATCACGAAGGAGTGCTGCAATATATTTCTATCGCGTTTCGTGGTATAATAATCGCGTGCGAGCTCGAATCATCGTGGAAATGACGAATCTCAGTTAATATCACCTTCCGCGAAGAGCGCCACACCCCTCTAATTCCCTTGATTTCTGTGTTTGCAGGTGAACGGACAGGACGTTTCGAACTCTAGTCACGAAGATGCAGTGCGTTGCTTCCAGTCGGCCCAGGAGCCAATTATCGTGGAAGTTCTTCGACGACAACCCGCGCATCAACAGGTTCCTCACACGCCCTCGAAGGAGCACGAAAGGATCGCGTGCCAGGATAAGAGTGAGGGAACGACAAACGGGAGGGGCCCGATAGATGACAGAACGTGCAACGACGATGCGAAGAAGGACTCGGCGTCCCCCTTGGTGTCGACCGCGGTCCAAACAGATTGGGCCGGCCTCATCGAGGAGGAGGAGCTGCTTCCGGTTCCTCTCGTGGTCGAGGAACAAGCGAACGACAGCTTCGAGGACTTTCTCGCTCACGACATCGACTTCGAGGTATTCAATGCTTGACTTGATTGTTACGTTTACTTATCTTAGCGCTTGTTAAAGACACGCGACGTTTCGCGATTCGGTTACTCACTCCAGTTGCAAAATATATATCAATAAATTACAATGAGAAATATAATATAATATGAATCGCGATCGAAATCGCGGAGAAAGAAAAAATTCCAAAAATACAATTTCTCATAGAGTCTCTCTGTTCGACAAGATAAAACGTGATTGTGGTAACTCGTAAAATTGAATTAATTATCATATATGTTACATTAATCTGCGAGATCAATCTTTTACATATGTGGGATAAGTCCGGGATGGGCATAGTTTTTTTAATTGGAAATAACACATCTGTATTGTTGCAATAAATGATCAACAACATATTAACACACTGAGGATAATGTTTAAGGTAGGGAAAAATTTTTGTGAAAAAATGTCATGGGACGCCAATAATAAGGAAATATTAAAAATATTCTGTCAGGGATAGATGGTCATATGTGAAAGGATAATTGGGCATGCCTGTAATAATGTAGAAATTTGTTTATCTTTACTTAATTTTTTAGTATTTTACATCCTTTTATTAATTATTAACCTTTTTATTATTTTCTTTTATTAATTATTAGGAGTACAAATACGTTTCCGCCGTTTTCTATCAAAAATTAGGAATTTATTGTGAAAGAATGGTACGTTACGTTTTATTCGAAGTATTGTCCATCACTAGCCATTACTTTTTCCCATCTTTCTGGCAGCATTCGGATACCACGTCTTCATCTTTTGAGGCTGTCCACGAATCGACCCAATTTTTAGTATCTTCATATGATGTAAAGCGCTGCTTAGACAGGCCATGTGCCATCGACCGGAACAAGTGATAATCGGAAGGGGCAATGTCTGGTGAATACGGCGGGTGGGGTAGGACTTCCCAATTAAGTGTTTCCAAATAGGTTTCGACCGGTTTTGCAACATGTGACCGAGCGTTGTCATGTAGGAGAATAATTTTGTCGTGTCTGGAGTAGTAATGGGCGCGTTTTTCCTCGAGTGCTCGGCTCAATCTCATTAATTGTGTTCGGTAGAGAGCTCCAGTAATGGTTTCGCTCGGTTTGAGCAACTCATAATACACGACACCAAGCTGATCCCACCAAATACACAGCATGAGTTTCTTTCCATGAATATTCGGTTTGGCTGTCGATGTTGAAGCATGGCCAGGTGGTCCCCATGATTTTCTCTTCTTTGGGTTATCGTAGTGGATCCATTTTTCATCACCAGTGACTATCGGATGCAAAAAACCCTTTCTTTTATGCCTGGCAAGCAGCATTTCACACGTGCAAAATCGGCGTTCAACGTCTCTCGGCTTCAGTTCATATGAAACCCAATTTCCTTGTTTCTGAATCATTCCCATCGATTTTAAACGATGTGAAATTGCTTGTTGAGTCACTTCTAATGTAAGTGCAAGTTCTTCTTGCGTTTGTCACGAATCTTCCTCCAATAATGCTTCCAATTCCGTGTCTTTGTACACTTTCGGCCTTCCACTACGTTCTTTGTCTTCCACGTCAAACTCACCGTTTTTAAACTTTTGAAACCACTCACGACAACTTCTCTCACTTAAAGCAGTCTCACCATATGCTTCTACAAGCAATCGATGCGCCTCAGCTGCAGATTTCTTCAAATTAAAGAAGTGAATCAAGAGTTCCCGCAAATGATGCTTATTCGGCACAAAACTTGACATTTTCGCACGAAAAAAATTATGTGACGCTGATACCGAGTCACTAATACTTCAAGGTTATGTTGTTACCAGATGTCCAAACTTACGATATTACGTTTTACATCTGACAATTTCAACATAATCTTCTGGTGGGGTCATCTTTTGTCAAACGGCGGAAACTTATTTGTTCTCCTAATATTAGTGAAATAAAACATTTCCGCAAGTTTCTTGTAGAAACCAAGAACAACGATTGGGCAGAAGGTTGAAAAGTGGCAACACAGAAAAAGGCCCAATGGGAAAACATTGTTTATCAAAGAGAGAAAAAGCAAAGAAATCTATTCGGCATTTTTAGACGAAACAAGAAGCTGTTTAAAGTGTACTGAAGTTTTCAATGTTAGGTATGCAGGGAAAAATGATAGTCGAATAGATTTCAGGTCGACGTCTTTTGTACGTCTAAATCTAAAGCATCTAGAAAATATCGGTCCGATGTCCATTGCTTGCTATTTCTCGTTGAATAGGCTGCCCATCTAACTGATAAAAATGATAAGAATGACCTATCTATCCCGTTTGGAGAGTTCGCGTGAAAATACATGTACCATGTGAAACGTAGTCTCGGTGACGAATTTTGAAATTAAGTGCGCAAATACGATGTTTTTTAAGCCCAGGTCTAATGTTGTAACTCAAAATAAACCGTATTCGCAAGGTATTTTTCCGACGTGTGAAACATCGAGGTCTTGGAGGTTACTAAAAACATAAAACATTTATTTATTCACAATAACAGTGTTTCTGTGCATCAGGAAGAGACACACCTACTCGTGGCACATCCAACTCACAACTGGCCGATCAGCGCTGACGCCTGGCATATATTAACAAAATTATAGCAATTGACCATCTATCCCCTATGCCCATTTATCCCAGACTTACCCCAATAATAATCGAAAGTATCGGGAAAGCGAATTCAATTCACGCTGAGGATGATCAGTCCATTTTTGAGGTGGTGACAATCGACGCGACGTAAAACACAGATAGAGGACGGAAGAAAAGCGACGCGAGAAACAATCTGACAAAATGACAGACTATATATGTGCGCGTAATAATCAAGGGAACAATAGAGTAGCTAGATTCCGCGTAATCGTGTAACTCGCTTTCCTGTAATGTGTTTGTTCAGCGGTGGTAATGTTGGCGCTTTTAACCGGGGAAAGCTTTATGCAGACAGGCGTGTATTTATTTCATCCAACGTTGTCTGGCATACCGGACATTAATACGGTTGCGAAATGCTGCAGGAGGTGACGTTGCGGAAAAGCGGAAGTGCCGAGAAGCTCGGGCTGACGGTGTGCTATAGCTCTGGTTCCGGCAGCGAGGACGCCGACACAGAAGTTTATATCTCGGAAATAGTTCCTGAAAGTCTCGCGGCGCGGGACGGCCGGTTGCGAGAAGGAGATCAAATCTTGCGGGTAAAATCATGTTTCCCAGTCCACCGCTATTCTGCTCCTCTCGTGATTGAAACTCGCCGATTCGCGCGATAATTCGCCGAGCAAATCGTGCCAGGCCTGAGGAGAGACAGAGAGAGAGAGAGAGAGAGAGAGAGAGAGACGTGAATAAAATTGCGAGAGCAAAGGCGCGAAACATAGCGGCGGGATTTATACGCGGACGACTCAATTTCGCCGATAAGACCGCGAATTTCGCCGTTATCGTCCATTATTTCGGATATAATATCTCACTTCGCTTCTCTCTCTCTCTCTCTCTCTCTCTCTCTCTCTCTCTCTCTCTCTCTCTCTCTCTCCCTCGAGCCAAAACCCCACGCGGAGGAGAGACCGTATTATACAGGAGGAAAAGCTCGTCGTCGCGTAACGGCACACGTTACGGAATTTACAGCGAAATTACATGATGCGTGCGTCGTTCGTAGATCAAGTTGGTCGAGATAGCGGAATTTCGCGTCACGGAACCCCGCGACGTTCGCGAATTTCCCGTTGACGCCTCATTATCCCCGCCGAGGTTCCTAAGCTCTGTAGCCCTCTAATCCCATTAAGCAGATTATAATTACGGTCCGTGTGCTCTTTCGCTCTCGCTCCGCCACTCTCTCTCTCTCTCTCCCTCTCTCTCTCTCTCTCTCTTTCTCTCTCTCTCTCTCTCGCGCTGACGGGAAATCGGACCGAGCGGTGGATGAGTACACGATGGATTCGTCGCCGTTTGTCTGCCTAAGTTCCTTTGCCAATGAGCTCCTGCTCCTGCGCGGTGCGTGTTCTCGTCCGTGTAATAGTTGGCGGCTCGTTATTCGACGTCTTGCCGAAAATTATCCTCGCTCGTTTAGACCGCCGAGGATCTCGTCGTGTCTCTCGAGAAAAGTACGTCGAAGGAGGAGAACATCTACATCGCCTCCTGTCGGATAATCGAAGCCAGCGGCAATGCGGAAGCCCCCCCAACCTCTCCGATTTTTTATTTTACTTTAAAAGGGCTTTTTCCTTTTAATTAAAGGTGAATTACTTCGAGTCGAATCGTCGGTCGAGAAGTTGGCTCCTCTGTTTCTTTCTTTCTCGCCGTATTCAATTCGATTCAAGACCGATTTTTTATTTTTTTTTATTTTACTGCGTAGAAAGATTTTTTTTTTTTTCTTCTTTTAATTAAATGTGAATGACGTCGAGAGTCGGAACGCCGGTCGAGAAGTTGGCTTCTCCGTTTCTTTCCTTCTCGTCGTATTATTATTGTTATTATTATTATGATTGCAAGTGTAGATTCTGGAGAATGGGAAATTTGCGTTGAGTCAGCTCTGCCGAGCGCGAGGGGTTTCTAAGCCGGATTTACATTCGGAGTACGGCGTTTCATTATGCATGTACATCTCTCGCGAGAACAGTGACTCATTTCGGAAATCAAGAAGCGGCCGTGCCATTCATTGAGGGGGAACCTCTTGGTTCTCGTTCCAGGTCAACGGCAAGGACGTCGCGAACAAGGAGCAGACCGAGAACCTGTTCGCGGAGACGAAGAATGCAGTGACGATTCTTGTCAGCCGATGTCTATATCAAGTTTGTGTTCTCATTTTACATATTATCATCATATCACGAAGTTTCGTAAAATCACGCGGAGAGAGATCAGCTTGCGACGAGTGCGTTGTAACGATAAGTATGACGTGAAACGTGACGGTTAATCGTGTGGGAAAGGTTTCTAAAGCGCTTCGCGGAACTTTTTTTCCCTTCGACGTCTTCTTCTTTACTAGTCTAGATATATATGTATATATACAGGATGCTAAATTTCAAACGTAACAGGTGAAAAATCTCGAAAACTATGAAAGATTTCGTTTAATAATTTTGAAATTTCCAAAGGTCGATAAGTTAACAAAAGTCAGGGCACTATTATTGTAATATATTCTTGATAGTAAATAAAGTAAAAAAGTCTAATACTATTTTTTCCTTCGACGAATAGTTAGCGAGATATCGTAAGTTAAATGTTGAAAAAGTTATCAAGTTTTCCTTAAATATCTAAAAAAAATACTAGGCAAATAGAAAAATGTTTCAGACGAAAGTTGTTAAAATAAATTGGTAGAAAAGGAAGATACGATAAAAAATTGGGCTTTCTATTTAAAAAAATTAAGTTGACCTTCAACTGACCTTGAAAATGCTCTCCAAATAAGAAAACTGATAATGCCATTCTTTTTCCACTTCGAAATCATGGAACACGTGTTTTAGCTCCTCTTAATATCTTTCATAGTTTTCGAGACTTTTTACCTGTTACGTTTGAAATTCAGCACCCTGTATATGTATATATAGAACGTCGAATTAAATTAATTACCGTGTATGATATATCGATACACGAAATGTTCTTCCTCGACTAATCAATATATTTCTATTTCGCAGGATGAGGAGTACGATGACAGGCGCATCTATCATCAAGTAAGTCCGGGTTATCGTCAGGGAAAAAAGAAAAAAAAGCATGAAACGTTAGCACGGGACGCGTGTATCGTTATCTATCATGAATATTTCACTTCAGGGCTCGCCGCCGCTCTCGCCTGAGAATCTACCGGCGTATCAGAACAGCATGATCGAGCAGCTGATCCGTCAACAGCAGCAGCAAACGGAGGAGCGTACCAAAGAAAGCGAGGTAAACAACTCCACCCTGAAAGCGCCTCCTCCTATACCTTCTCATACTCAACAACAACAGCAGCAGCAGCAGCAGCAGCAGCAGCAGCAGCAACAGCAGCAACAGCAACAGCAACAGCAGCAGCAGCAGCAACAACAGACTCAGCAGCAACAACAAGCCGTCAACATTTTCTCCACGAACTCGTCGTCCACGTGTTCGTCGCAAAACTCACAAAAGTCCGGCAAGAACGCTATCTCCCCGGCGCACCATACGGAGGACCGTAAGCAGTGGATGCAGGACGCCTTGAAGGACTGCTCGAAGAGGCTGGACAGCATTTCCCTGCGTGGGCAGCAGTCCGGGCCACCTACGCTGCCGGTGAAGCTCGTCGAGGCGTACTCGAGCCACGTGTGGAGCGACACCGAGCACATCTACGAGACGATACCGGAGTCGGACAGCGAGCCCATTTACTCGTCGCCGTACGAGCACCATCAGCATTGGACGACGCAGTCCTCGACGACGAACCATGCCACGACGTTGCAGCACGCTCCGCCGAACCACGCGACCGGCAATCAGAAGTGGCACTCTTCGTCGAAGAGCAACAGCTCCGGCGAAGAGAAGGACAGCTCGAGCGCGTACAACACCGGCGAGTCTTGCCATAGCAACCCTCTGACCTTGGAGCTTCACCAGGGCGAGCGAGATCATCACAAAAGCACGTTGGTGTTGTGCCCGCCAAAAGCACCGCAGCAGCAACAGCAGCAGCAGCAGCAGCAGCAGCAGCAGCAGCAGCAGCAGCAGCAACAGCAACAAGCGCAGCAACAGAGACTGGGCTGCAACTGTCCCATGCCGGTGACACCAACCGTGACCTCCGCCAGCAGGCAATCCAAGAATCAGAGCGCGAGGAAGAGCTCGTCCTCGTCGCACCATCACCGGGACCGCAACGAGCCGGCGATGACGAACGCCAACACGCTGCCGGCCGACACCATGTACACGAACGTGGCGAATCTACAACAGACGATGATGCTGCAGCAGCAGCTGTTCAAGCAGGCGCTCAACCGCCGGAACCTCACCACCAGGGAGGCCGGCGGCGCGCGGAAGTCCAAGTCGCACGGTAACTTCCAGGCGCCGAATCTGACGCAGTATCAGTTCATTGGCAGCCAGCAGGTGTGCACGTCCACCACGTGGATACCGCCAGAGGATAAGGGCGAGGTGCAGATGGAGTGGAAGGTGAAGAGGCGGGCGGACGGCACGAGGTATATCGCCAGGCGGCCGGTGAGGAATCGTATACTGCGGAACAGGGCAATCAAGATATCCGAGGAGAGAGCTGGCCACACGACCGAGGACGACACTATGTCGGAGATGAAGGTGAGCGCGGCTCAACGCAGTCGCGATACGATCGGCTTTCTTTCGCAGACGATATTTTGTTAGATCTCATTAGATTGAAGGGAAGAAACAGAAAAGTAGCGGCCTCTTCAGCACGTTCACGCTATCACGCTGCTGATGTATTTTATCTATACAGATAAACCAAGTTTCGTATTATTACACGAATAAACATGCAGAGTGGAGTGATGTGTGGAAGAGACGCTGCAGTTTCTTCCTGGACGAACGGTGGCAGCGAACGTGTTGGAGCTATTTCCCTTTTCTAAGGAAAACGACTCGCAACTCGTTATTTTCGCCGATGAACAAACATGTGCTTTCACTTTGCTTCAGGTAGGACGATACTGGAGCAAGGAGGAGCGCAAACGGCAACTAGAGCGCGCGCGCGAACGCAAGCAACGGCAGCAGGAGCTGTTGCTGCAACAGCAGCAGCAGCAGATGCAACAGACCAACGACGTGCTGATATGCGAACACACGGAGGATAAAGTATCGAAAAAGCCACTGAGCATCGTGGAACTCAGTCACAAGAAGATGGCGCGCAAAAAGACAACCCTGGACGACTTCACCACCGTGCAAGAAATGTTAGTTCACGGAAACAGGGTGGGAGCAGGTGGCCCTGGCACGGGGGGGAAATTAATGGGTCTACTGTCGGTTACCACGGTATAAGCGGACTCGTTGTACCTTTCAGTTTCGCCAAGTTTCAGTCTCTCGCTCGCTCGTTTGCTCATCATGTTGCCGCGATCGTCGTCACGCGCGCGCGCGCGCTTGGATATTGATGAAACGCGACGTGCATGAAGACACCACGTGTTTCTCGCAGACTCAGCGTAATTACCGTTGCGAGAAAGTGAGAGAGAGAGAGAGAGAGAGAGAGAGGGGGAGGGGGGGAGAGACGGCTTTTAATGGCGCGTGCGGTAGAGATTCCAAAAGTTTTGCACGGTGCAACTCACGCGACATATTGTCTGGCTTGTACGGTGCGGTGTACGCGCGTGCGACGTCCCGCATTACAGACGTAATTCCGGATAACGAGCCGAGAGCTCGCACAAGGTGTTGTTTAACATTTGTTCGAACAATCTCTACGGGACTGTTCGCTCGCGGGACGCGCGTATATGCGCGCGCGAATTCACTACTCAGCGGACGCGACGCGAGGCGGAGTATCCTTGTCGTGATCCACGCGACGTTTGCTCTCCGACGATGAGACGAGGGGGAACGATCTGACGTCACGGTGATGGAGACGACGAAGACGACGAAAAGCGAGGACAAGTCGCGCCCCGTGCCGGTTTCCCTGTGAGTGTGTAACAATGCGACGCGTGCGAATACTCATGATTCCACGACGGGGGAGAAGCGCGGCGGCGACGCGCCACTGCAATAAAACGAGGAAGCTTACGTTTATCGCTGTTGTGTGTACACATGCGTGGAGTTTATATACAGCGCGTTCGCTCTGATCAATTCTGTAAATATCCATCGTACACGGTAATATATGTAGATTTTACACGCGCGTCCTCGCACGACTGCGCGCAGCCGAGAGGATTTCACACGCGGTGCGGTGGAATGCTTTCGCCGTTACGTGCTACGTGGTGATTATAGGTTTGTAGATATGTATGATAAAGTTAAACACGACGTGCATTAACGCGGCACACGTGGTTATTCTTTTCGCTTTGCGCTGTGAGAGAGAGAGAGAGAGAGAGAGAGAGAGAGAGAGAGAGAGAGAGAGAGAGAGAGAGAGAGAGAGCGCTCGAGGATCATCTCCGATGTAACCGATCAGTTTCGTTGTCAAATTGCTTTCACGGGTGTATCACGAGCGCAGTTTCCTCTCTCTCTCTCTCTCTCTCTCTCTTTCTCTCTTCCTCCTTTTGATTCGCCAGGGTATACACAACCTCGTAATTTTTACATCATTTCCGCAAAGCATTTCGAGAACGAGCAGAGCATTGTGTCATACGCGAGAGACACGCTCGAGGGGGAACGACACCGGAAATACGCGTTAACAACCGTGCCTCGTTCTTTCGCGTGCACCGCCGAGTCGATCGATCGTTACTTTTCGTTCAGACGCGCTTTCCGCTCGCGTTCCGCTCTCTTTCCCCTCCCAAGAGAGATAATCAAACACTAGGATTGTATACTGCCGATAATCGTGACCGTATATATTTTAAAGCACACGCGTTCAAGAGCCGAGAGAAGAATTTGTGAATAAGGAGCGCATCGAGCGTAATCACAGTTATCACGGGCCGCCCGACGAGAGCTCATACTGCGCAAGGTGCGTGGGTGCGTCCGGGGAGAACGATGTTAGATACAGTATATAACGTTGTAGAAAATACGCCGTACGACATAGACTAAGCACGTAAACGCGCACGTATGCTGTCTTTTGTATGTAGATGCGAGACGTAACGATTCTAAGAGAAGAAAAAGAAAAAAAGAGGAAAAAAGGAAAAAAGAGAAAAAAAGATATGTGTAATGTACATAAAACACCCGAATAAAGTGCAACATTAATATATGCAACGGTGGTGGCGAGTTAACGAGCCCGTAAGTATTTGCGTCTCAGTGTCGGCAGAATTTTGTATCGCGACAAAATCCGGAGCACCAGACAGTGTGAGGGGCGTGAGAGGAGAGTGTGATGAGGGAGAAGGTCGGATCGGCGGTCGTTCGATCTGTCGGGGATGACGGGGAAACGACAAACGTCTCGCAAGAATAGAAAAGAAGACTGCTCGTTTATTATGAAATTCAAAAAGTTGTTGTCCCGATCGATGTAAATTGTCCTATTACATGAGAGCGTTGATATTGATGTTGTTGAGGACTTTCAGCTCTGGCACATTCAGGTGTTGTAGATACATGGGGAAGCAGTGATGAGTGGAGAAGTTGAGTAGGAAATCGCGCAGATATTGGCTCATGTTTAAGTGGTAAATCGAATCATGCACCGACTCCAGGTCCTCGTCGGTATTGTCGTAAGCTTCGTCCACGGCTGCTATCCCTGCGCAAAGAGATCATGTAACTCGCCCCGGTGTCTCGGCCCCGACGAACGATCGTACGCCGTGCCGTCTACGAGGCTGACATTTACGCGAACATTTCCCCCAAAAAATTTCCCGAAAAACTTACGTAACACGTTCTCGTTCCCAGGATCTATCAACTCCTCCTCGCCTTCGTCGTCGTCCTCCTCGTCGGATTCCTGTGATTCGAAGTCACGTCATTCACACGGAATAGAACAGCGAGTCCGCGAAGCGGGTGTCAATACGATGACTGCCACAGTGACGTTAGGTAACTTCCTTCTCGATGCCATTTTTAAAACAGCGTGTTGTATCAAATGATCGCTGATTAATCATAACTTGTTAACCAACTGAACCATAGAAATTCAAACCCGCGAGAGAAAAACCTACAAACAGAAAATTCTTCCTACACGACAACTTGTGTCTGGCAGTCAACGTGTTGAAGTGGAAGACGCGGTAGCGTCGGTGTTACTCACATTCGTATCTGGACTATCAGCCTCCATATCGTCTGACAATTCGTTGATTATTACTTTAAAGATCTTTACAAGTACAGGTACCGTAGTCCATTCGTAAGGCCGCGACTCGGTTTTGCTTCTGGTCCTCACGCCATCCTCGATTCCTGTGCAATTCCGGGGCAATTTAAATTCGCCACTCGTTCAGCGGTGCGCAAGTAGGATCGCAAGCCGTCACCACAAACCTGGGATAATCAGATCTCCCTTGACAGTGATCTCGTCCAGTCTGCTGTCCCCCTGAGTGACTCCGTACTCCAAGATCTTGCACAACGCAACCGTCGCGACTTTGCACTCATATCTGCCAACGAACAGATGCTGCCTGCTGACCCACTCGGATAACACGAACGCGAGCGCACTCTGCCCCGTGGGCCCGGGTACGGTTGACAAGAAGTTCAGTACCGCATTGAACTGCGTGTTTATGAGATGTGCGTAAATCATCAGCAAACTCTGCATGACCACCAGCGTCTCGGCCGTCTGCATTTTGCTCAGCACTGCTTTCAGCAGTAAATCGAGGTTCTCGCCGAGACTGTTGCCCACATTCCTGATCAGCGTTGTCACTAAACGCCCGACGAAGCTGGCGGTGAATTCGCTCGACTGGAATACACCAACACGCGCGTGTAAGCGAGCATGAGACAGCCTAGCCGGCTTGTCGATCTATTCTGTAACTTTCAACGACGCTGTCGTTGGAAGTTATAGAACAGGCCTGTCGGTGAGCTTCGCTCGATGAAGAGTCGGTGGTGCAACGGTGTTACGCACTCCGGTACCTGCGGGTTCAGCAACTGGCCGATGATTTCCAGTGTGTACTGCAGTCCAGTCCGCCCTTCGCTATCTTGGTGCGTAATCACTTGCTGAGCCGACACGGCCAAATACGCGCGTATTAGTTCACCGCCGCTCTGCAGCGTCACGTGGTCCTCCGAGTTGAGGACGCAGTGGCAAGCAGCCGGGAATGCGGTCTCGAGCAACGCGTTGCTCAGAGGTGACGGCGAATTTTGCACCAAGACTATCAAAACGTCCAACGCTGCGGTTCGAGATCCCTCTAATGGAAGGAGGGAAACGGTCGTAGTCATGAGTCATGACAGTATCGTGCGCGCGGCATCTCAAACCGGTCGAATCGACAAAAACGTACCGTCTTTCGACTTGTCCATAGGCGTGATCGCCATCATACTCGTAAGAGTCGGTATTATACGAGTTTGCAGTGGCCCGATGCAGCCCGGATTCTGAGTCAATTCCTTGAATATCTCGTGGCATAGTTGTAACATCACCGGGTCGCTATGAAACTTTAGAAACACTGCAATTGTCAAAGGACAAATCTCGTTTTCCACTGATGCTGTAAATTCTTTATGTAGCTATAAACACAAATAAGATCCAAGTAACTTAAATAACGGAAAAGACATATCCAAGAAAAATGTGTGCAATGGAGAGGACGTTGGTATTACCGCAATTAGCACGTGAAACGTCTCCATGACCAGAAGCAGAACGTTCGTGGACGGCTGACTAGCTAGATTAAACAACCCGCGGAAAATGTTAGGTAAGTGGCAGCGTATTATGTTGGCAACCGATTCCTCGGGCGGCGTTTCGCTGAACCAAAAGATCGCCTTCACGGCACTAATGCGAATGCAAGACGGTTGATTCTCTTGTAAGCCGTTAACCGTTGCTTCAAGAAATCGCGAGCTCACTTCCGGCGGCATTATCTGGGCGTACCTTCCGCCGAGACATAAGCAGCGACCGAGTAGTAACGGAGGTGAGCCTAAAACAAAATATACGCAAGGGTTTCTCACGTTTTGACATGATCGCTTGAAGGACAGGTCGGTCGTTTGTCACGATCAATTACCTGAATCATTCAACATGCCCAATACAACTGTATCTAGAAATCGGATAAAATCGAACTGCAATGTGCCACCCAGTTGTTTCTCAACAATGACATCTTTGCAAATGCTCAATGTCATGATGGAAGCCTCTTGTATCTTCCACCAAGTCTCATTGCTGTTATTACCGTCGCCGCTAGCTTTCAGGGCGTTCGTCGCCTCGATATGTCGCGTCACGACGTCGCAAAGCGCGTGAATCCCTACCTCCGCGAACTGATTGACGAGGGCCTGCAAGTGGTAAAATGTATTGCTTTCTGCACACCCCCAAGATAACACTTCAGTCGCGTTATATCGAGCTTCCACTCACCATTAGAAGCTCCTGTGCTGAGATTCTAACGTTGTAAGTAAAGCACTGATCATCCTCCTCGACGAATTGATTTGGATTATTCGTCCACAGTTGGATCTGATCAGGCGTTATTTGCATGAATATTATCAGATAATACATGAGTTCCGGTAGCAGATTATCCAATAAGTTTGTGAATTTTTTGTGATCCGCTATGGACTGAACAAACTCGAATATCGCAATGATCAAATTATTGAAGTTGATCACTTCGCCTGAAAGAGATGTGTATATTTATAGAGAAATAACGTTAGTTGTATATATATATATATACACACGTGTGTGTGTGTGTGTGTACAATACACCCATCACGAGGATAATGTAACAACATACCATCGGAATCAACTTCCTTATCGTTAATATCTTCGTCTCCGTTCACTGTCGTTTCCTGGTAAGTCTTCGCACTTTGCGACAATGTCTCCCATATAGACGGTAACATTTGAGGTAAAAAGTCTGATACATATTTGGGCAATTTTTTAACAAGACCGTTTATAGCTTTAATAATATCTGTTTTAAATCCAATGTCACTAGATGGCCCATTAGGCACTCTGAGGCACTCGACAGATTTCTGGCAAAACATAGGAATGACTGGCTGTAAATACTGCTCTACAAATCCCTTCTCGTAAATTCCCGTAACAGCCAAAGTTGTAACAGACGCGAAAATCTCAACCGCACGACCACGCGTCCTGATGGAATACTGCAAAATGATTGATATGAAGCAGCTGAGGCAAAAAGCTGAGGCAAAAAGCTGAGGCGAAAAGAAAAAATGGTACTCTGGTATTTCATCAAACTCACATTTTCACTTTGAAATATTCTATACATCTCCTGCAGAATAACAGGCCCCACATTTGGCAACTGAACATCTGTGAGATCCCGAGTAAATTCTATCAAGACTCTCATTGCTCCATGAACGGCATATTCGCTTTCTGTTCTTAAACAACTGACAAGAATCTCAAAGAGGGAAGGCCACTTCTCAGGCCAGTCCCAACATGCTATACCAGATATTGCATAAGCCACTGCATTACGTACCTAAATCAGATAACATCTTGTCTACATTAAGTAGATGTATATCAAATACTGTTTCTATGTACATATTTTAATTATGTAACATAAATTTATTCTTGCTACAACTAACCAAATTATATTTGCCTAAATTACCTTACTGATAGATTCTCGAAGTCCTAAAGGTAGTAACTCTTTGATCTTTTGCTTGGTATCAACATTAAGCTCTGGTGGACGGAATTTCTCAGCCAATGAACACCAATGTGCTTCAACATATTGTTTTAGTAAGACAGAAGCTAACTGTCTAATTGGTAAATGTCCATTTGGATCAACGACAAATTCCGTCAAGTGTATCCCATATTCTTCTGTAACCTCTAACGCCTGAATTCTTTGCTCAGCAGCTTGCCGAGTTTCACGATGTGGTGATAAGATTCCAGTTAATGTCTCATACAAAGCTTCTTTTAAAGAACCTTGTATATCATTAGTGACCACACTCATTGTGCGAGGTAAATATTAATTTACTGGCCAGCATCTGAAAAGCAAAATTATCTCTTAAAACTCAAACAATTAGTTACATCTCTTTAATTTGATTATCTATCATAATAACATATTTTACTTAAAATTATTACACAGCGTGTAAGTATGTGATGTTCTATTAGTCATCATTAATTGTGTTGGTGGTGTGTTAATTATGACATCTAACGTCTCAAAGTGTCTCTGTAACATTATGCAAGCATAATATAGCAAGCATAAACAAAAAGAAACGAGAAGGGAATGTTTCTTTACGCAAATTAAGTAACAACAGCGCATAATTGATAGTAGTAAAATAAAATTTGGTGATATATTTGTATGATAACTACATACACGAAATTCAAAAATACAATTATATGTATATTTAAATTCTAGTCCAGTTTGTCGTCCTTTTAATTATATATGTGCGTAGGATTCTACACGATATCTTTACCTGGATCAATATAATACGACCGCATTACATTTATAAATATAAGATAGACAACATAGTGCAAAACAGGATAACACGTGTATATACGTACGAATAATCAGCTCCTCGCAAACCGATAGTGCCTGAACGGTCGTTCAAAATTTTCTGAAAGCCGGTACGACAAATTGGTTATTTCACTGTTCACATATTTGGTAAGATGAGTTATCATTCAGAATTATAGAAACGAGTATAGGGATCCAGTCATGAAGGCCGATAAACTGCGGTTCGAGTCTAGACTAAGAATATGATCACCGACACCGACGAGATAATATCAGCAAAGAGAAGCCTGAGAGCGGGCATGGCTGCATTTACAGCGTTATGGAAAAGTTGGCTGATTCGAAGCGCCAACTGGGTCCATTTTTCATGGACATGAACTACTAAGCCAATGTCCACGATTTGTTGGTACTATTCCGTGATATGTCCATAATTATTTGGTTCTGTTTTGTGCTATGTTCACGAGCGAGCTAGATTAGTTAGATAAAAACGAAGAATCGGTCTTTGTCTCACCACCAGCGAATAGACAATCGCGACGAAGCGAGCCAGCAGCGATGTTATCGTAAGGCAGACGTCGCCGTCTCCCCTTTCACCCCCTTATTTTCCTTTCCACATTGTTTTATATTCATAATTCGGGAAGAAAATAATTTCGAGAGTTCGGACGATTTCTAGCAATGACGACAGAGATGACACACGGCCACATTAATTTGTCATGACTTTTATATTACTTATAATTATTGGGTGAGTGCAAAAGTTCGTGCGGAGTTTCAATAGATGGAGTTATAAGCGTCGTAAAGTGTTGTCATTAATACTTCCATCTACATATTATATAACGTTGGAAAGGTGACGTCTTCAGCTGTTAATAAAAAAAAAATCATTTGTTTTCATACAAACTGCTTCGAGAAATATCACTTTAAAAATGAGTATCGATAAGGTGCATTTACGGCATGTTATGCTTTACGAGTTTCGGAAGGGAATAAACGTTGCCGCAGCCGTAAAAAACATTCAGGATGTTTATCAGGATGAAGCACCAGCTAAACGAACTGTGGAAAAATGGTTTGCTAAATTTCGGCGCGGAGAATTTAACCTTGAAGACGAGCCACGCTCTGGTCGACCTTCTGACATTGATGACGATGTTTTGCGTACTTTAGTGCTCAATAATCCGCGAATTTCAACAGAAGAAGTTGCTACAGCACTAAACGTTGACCGATCAGCCGCTTTTCGGCGTTTAAAAAAGATGGGATTCGATTTGAAGCTCGATATATGGGTGCCCCATTTGCTGACCGAGAAGAACAAAATCAAGCGAATTTCTGCAGCCGTTTCTTTACTCGGGCGGCTCAATAACGAGTCGTTTTTGGATCGACTAGTGACGGGCGATGAGAAATGTAAAAACTTATGTACATATATATACAATAAAAAAGTAATTTGAGTTTGATACTTCCAAAAATAACACAATACGTGTTGCGTTTGTACTTGGCGCCTTTTCTTATCTTCTTGTTTAAAAAGATAAGTTTTATATGATATTAAATATACGTACGTTTCACGTATAACGTGATTGACTTGGAATATTCCGTGCCCACGCGTGTTATTCATAGCGACGCATTCATACTTTCCCTGATCTGTTAAATCGGATTCGATAATCTGCAAGGCACCTGAAACATAAAATGTGGTATTCTCGAACAGCGTTCCTCTCAGGATTTTCTTGTCCAAAGAAAGATCAATGATGCGATCGCAGATCTCGTGTGTGTCATGTCAAAATAGAGACAGTTTGAATTCGACGTAATATGATTCTTGGAACAGACGTAAATAAGTATTGTGAAGTTTGAAGCGAGTCTCTCACAGGCATGCTTTGAAAACACGAGTTGTTTTCATTTTCAGCTAACGAACGATGCAGGCATCAACACTGATCGGCAAGGTGGGGGGTAACCGTGCCTTCCCGATTGTTTGTTTTCGTAGGCTTATATATGACTCCGTGATTGCGGAAAGGACATTGCGCCTCGGGCCGACGAACGACGCGCATACCGCGACGCAGAGTAATACGAGTATCGGTTAATACGCGTTTCTTTGTCCGAATCTTACTTGCGCGAGTGTTAGAGCTAGAGTCAGTGTCGTCGCCAGTGCTACGATGGAGTATCTGGGAGTGCTGCGACGGAGGACCAGAACCAGAAGGAGGACGTCGGATCGAGAAGTCAGGATGGAGAGAGGACTTGGAGCGCGCCGAGAGACGTAGCCGAGGACAGCGATACATGTATGGTATTCGAGGTACCTCGAGTTATTATTATTACGCATTATTATTTTTCTGATTTTAACGGACCTTACTCGAAGTAAGGACATACCCGAGTCGAAATAAGATCAGCATTCATAGTTTATCATCTGAAAAATGATAAAATAGCTTGAGATTTGATTATTCATTAACCTAATTTCACGTAACATGAGTTGTACTTTTCTTTTCTCATAAAATATGAATGTCCATTCAAGCAAGGTTGCTGAGGCAAGCTAAGGTTTATCAATACAAATTTGTAATTGTTCTCAATGAAAAATTGCACATAATTTAAAAAAACTATGAATAATGATCTCAGAATCTGATATAAATTTTACAAGTGTTGATTTTTATTCGTCTAATAATGCTCAGATTGCTGTTTTCGTTTAGAATCTGCTAGAATGTCCGTTTCTCATTCTTCTTTATCTTTCTTATTGTACCGAATCAGAATTAAAATCTCTATTAGTGAAACAGCATTATTAGACATAACCGTTGTCTTTTTGCAGCTTCAGCTCTTTTAAGAGCTACAATTCTCATCATTCTCATTAGAAAAAAGAAAAGAAAAAAAAGAGAAGAAGAAAGGAAAAAAAAACTTTAAGAATGATGAGAATAAAAAGTATTTTTCATCTCCCATTTCCTCTAATTCTTATATGCTTATTTAATCCTTATATATTTATCTCACGCGCAGTTCTAACAAAGGCAGTTCTATTTACGTTTTTATCTTTGTTTGTTGTACGTTTTTATCTTTCTTGCGCTGTTAAGCGAATATATAATCAAAATCAATAAAAATTGCTCATTTAAATTAAGAATATAAGGATTAAGTACATATACATTATCGAAGTAAACGAGTATTAAATAACTGCGGAATACGTCGCTGTCGAAGACTCATCATGGGCGAAACTACGAGAGTAGCCAGATGTAACGTTCAGGTAGGAGAAAGCTTGTTCACTATTGCGCATCTAAATATTCTGCATTGATTTTTCAAATTGGATGCAATTTGCAGGATCAATGTAGAATTAATATTTCGACTCGGGAAAGACTCGGGAATGAGAACGAATTGTCATTGCACTTGGACAATCTTCTGACACTGATTTCTGATATTGATCGACATTCGACTTTCGGTACTGATTTACTCTTTTATTTCTCTATAAAGGAAAAAAAGATTGATACAAATCGTTCGTTTATCCACGTTAATTTGATGAATAAATTCGATATTGATCGGTATTCGATTTTCGGTATTGATTTCTCCTTTCATTTTTCTATAAGAATAGAAAAAATTCAGACGAATTGTTCATTTGTCCGCGTTAATTTGATATATAAATTAAATATTGATCGATTTTCAATTTTCGGTACTAATTTATTCTCTCATTTCTTTATAAGACAAGAAAAATTGATATGAATCATTCGTTTATTCGAGTTAATTTGTTGAGTAAATTAGAAGGATAAATTCCTGAAAAATGAGAACAAATTGTCATTGCACTTGGACAATTTTCTGACACTGATTTACGGTATTGATCGATATTCGATTTTCGGTACTGATTTACTCTTTCATTTCTCTAAGAAAAAAATAATTCATACGAATCGTCCATTTATCCGCGTTAATTTGACGAATAAATTAAATATTGATCGGTTTCAATTTTCGGTACTGACTAATTCTCTAATTTCTTTATAAGAGAATAAAAATTGATACGAATCTTTCTTTTATCCGACTTAATTTTTTGAGTAAATTAGTGGGGTAAGTACCTGCAAGATGAAAACAACTTGTCATTGCACTTGGACAATTTTCTTGACATTGATTTATGATATTGATCAGTCTTCGGTTTTCGGTACTAATTTATTTTCTCATTTTCTTATAAGACAAAAAAAATTCATACGAATCGTTCATTTATCCGCGTTAATTTGATGAACAAATTAGGTTTAGATCGATCTTTGGTTTTCGGTACTGATTTATTCTGTAATTTATTTATAAGAAAAGAAAAATTGATACGGATCATTCGTTTATCCGAGTTAATTTATTGAATAATATTAGAGGGGTAAGTACCTGAAAAATGAGAACAAATTGTCATTGCACTTGGACAATTTTCTGACACAGATTTACGGTATTGATCGATATTCGATTTTCGGTACTGATTTACTCTTTCATTTCTCTATAAGAAAAAAAAATTTATACGAATCGTTCATTTATCCGCGTTAATTTGATGAATAAATTAAATATTGATCGGTCTTTGGTTTTCGGTACTGATTTATTCTGTCATTTATTTATAAAAAAAGAAAAATTGATACGGATCATTCGTTTAACCGAGTTAATTTGTTGAGTAAATTAGAGGGGTCAGTACCTGAAAAATGAGAACAAATTGTCATTGCACTTGGACAATTTTCTGACATTGATTTATGGTATTAATCGATATTCGGTTTTCGGTACTGATTTATTTTCTCATTTTCTTAAAAGACAAAAAAAATTGATTCGAATCGTTCGTTTATCCAAGTTAATTTGTTGAATAAAATTAGAGGGGTAAGTACCTGAAAAATGAGAACAAATTGTCATTGCACTTGGACAATTTTCTGACACAGATTTACGGTATCGATCGATATTCGATTTTCGGTACTGATTTACTCTTTCATTTCTCTATAAGAAAAAAAAATTTATACGAATCGTTCATTTATCCGCGTTAATTTGATGAATAAATTAAATATTGATCGGTCTTTGGTTTTCGGTACTGATTTATTCTGTCATTTATTTATAAAAAAAGAAAAATTGATACGGATCATTCGTTTAACCGAGTTAATTTGTTGAGTAAATTAGAGGGGTCAGTACCTGAAAAATGAGAACAAATTGTCATTGCACTTGGACAATTTTCTGACACAGATTTACGGTATTGATCGATATTCGATTTTCGGTACTGATTTACTCTTTCATTTCTCTATAAGAAAAAAAAAT